GTTGATCCCCAGGTTGGTTCCAACGGTTCCCACTTCATCGTCAACATCCTCGGCCAAGCTCGTGCCAGGTTCCCAGTGCCCAGCCAGTTGCTCACAACTTTGTGTCTGTAGCAGAGCTGCAGAGCCGAGCTGCCGAGTTAGAGTCAGTCATTGTGCTCGTGCTGAGCTAAGCAGCGGCGGCGTGCAGTGATTTCATAGCACAGTAGAGTCAGTAGAGAACAATTAGTGTGTGTGAGCGCCAGGTTGTTTCGAAACGGTTCCAACTTCATTGATCGTCAGGGTCATCGGCCAAGCTTGCCAGGTGCCCAGTTAGGCTCACAGTATGCGTTCTGGTTGCTGTTTGCTGGCATCGTTTCGGGTTAAGTGTTCTGGTCCCCATCGTCGTTGCCTATCATGTAGCTTACGGCCGGACCATCTGAGAGTCACTGAGAGACACTGTGCCTAGCCGTCTTGCCGGCCAGCTTTTTGTTAAGCTCCACCAACTGACATCTGCTGCAGACAAACGGCCCAAGAAGCACACACACACACACACACACACACACACACACACACACACACACACACACACACACACACACACACACACACACACACACACACACACACACGCCCCGTGTCACTGTGTCAGTGTCAAGCCAGCCATGACTACTCTCGTTTTCGACTGGAGGCACGGTCAGCGTCAGGAGATCCTCTACGTGAACGAGGATGGCACCACTCGGTTCACACGGACGACGAGATCCGGATTCAGGGTCACAGAAGACTGCCCTGGTACGTGCACGATTACCCTGGTGCACAGTGTCAGTGTCATGACCCTGACTCGCTGGGCGTGCGCCCGAAATGGGCCCCGTCTCAGAGACTTGAGGCTGGTTTGGAACGGTCAGTGTCAGTCTTTCGAAGATGACGTCCGCAGTGTCACATTCAGGACAAGACTGACAGTGTCAGTAGACGTGGCACCCGCCTTGGAGGCCTTGGAGGACGTGCAAGTGGGCCAGGAGGATGAGGGCTTCTACGTGCTGTGACAGCGTCAATGTCGTGTCTCCTTGCCTTGAAGTGCCAGCTGCTAGCCGGAGACCTTCGATTTGATGTGACATGACAATGAGACAGAGACAATGAGTGACAAACAGTGAAAGTGTCACAGCTCTGTCAGCACAGCACGTGTGAGGCAAAGTCCTTGCTGCACCTGGAGACACCGACCTGCATTTCCAGTTCCAAGTACCCAAGTACTAGTACAAGCACAAGTACTTCTTGTTTAGTTTAGTACAGTACAGTGCAGCGCAGCGCAGTTCATTACAGTATGTCAGTGTGGTGGGTGGGTGTCTCATGAATTGTCCTGGGCTACCGTTAAGCCGCTGGGACGAAGCAGCCTGCACTGTACGGAAGAGCCTTTGCCATCTGGAGCGAGAGTCAAAGACAGCCTTGTGCCCGATGGCTTGCCGAGGCAGCTGTCAGCCCCCGTAACCGACGGTTAAAACCCGAAACTTTCAGCCTGTCATCTTCAATCTTCCGTGTCATTTGTCAAAGTCAAAGTCAAAGTCAAAGCCAACCCTAAGCCCGAAACCACACGCCCTAAACCTAACCTTGGTTGCCGAGTCAGCTGTCAGCCCCCGCCCCCGAAGTCCCCGTAAACCCCAAACTCTCAACCTGTCAAATGTCAAAGTCAAAGCCAAAGGCCCCTAACTTGAACCCTATACTGGCCCTAAGCACTAAGCGCTAAACCCTAAAAACAAGCACAAGACGAAACCTCTAAGCCTACACCGAGACCGAATTCCGAGGCTGCTACGATTCTACGTCTACGACGACGACAAGAGCTTCTGCATCTGCTGGGAACCCATTGCCCGTCTGTATAGTTTGTGGATTTGTCAGTGTCTGCCACGTCTGCCACTGTCACACGTTGTCTTTGCACCGCCCTCAGAAGTAGGGTAGGTGTTCTCTCGAGGAGTTCAGTGTGTGATGACATGATGCCATGCTGATTGACTCGCGCGGTGCGCAGCCGGCCCAGGCCCAGGCGTGGTTTTTGTGTCAAATAACGTGGCAGGTAGGTTTGGAGTCACTGAAAACTGAGACCACTATCTTTTGTATAGTATGTTAGTATGTAGTATGGAGATGGAGATGTTCGCTGAGAAGGTTCAGGCGGTTGAGGCTGTCGCAAGGGCACCAGTCCGGCACCGCAGTTCCCGGACTGCTGCACTATAAGCCCCACACACACATAGTGACGTAGGTCAGGTAAACCCTACGGCCCTGCGAAGCAGCAATGGCTGGCTTTGGCTGGAAGGGCGGCGGCGGCGGCAGGGGCTGGCAGTTTCACGGTCAGGGTCCGTACCCAGGAGGAAACAGGTCCACAACGTCAACTCTGCGAGGTCAGATGATTCAGCGACTGAGCAACGACGTCGAGCGTCTGGAGAAGGATTTGGCCCAAGCTCGGGCCGGGGTGGTACAAAAAACAAACAGCCAGGCCCTAAGCCCCCAAGCAAGTCCCGGCAACAGTACAACTGTTGTCATTGATTGTGCAGAAGCCCAGCCGCCCAGCCCTAGCAGGTGGACAAGACGGTTGCCGAATCCGAGAAGGCAGATGCAGAAGATGCAGTGGCAAAACTTCGCAAGCAGCTGCAGGAGACGGAATGCGTGCCAACGGCTCTAACAATGTATGCGGTTAACAACGACTTAGAAGTCTTGCAGGTCGTTTTGAAAGACACGACATATTTTGCAGGACGCAGAGTCAAATCATGCCAAGCAGATCTTGCAGATGGAGAAGGACTCTTGCTCGGCAATCGCAAGACTCGCAAGAGGGTGGTTCCCGGTATGTAGCCACTGTAGTAGCTAGTCAGTCGTTGACGGTTGACAACCGACAACATATTGACGACTGCAGGAAAGGACCGATGCAGAGACGGCGCACGGTCGTCGGTTGGCAACGACCTCTGACAAGATGAGTGACATGACCCAAGCCTGGCAGCGTGAGAGCTCCACTTGGCAAGGCAGCCAGGGTAGGGTTTAGGGATTAGGGCTTAATTAGGGCTAGTTAGGGCTTAGGGCTTAGGGCTTAGGGCTTGGGGCTTGGGGCTTGGGGCTTAGGGCTTAGGGCTTTAGGGTTAGGGGTTAAGGTTAAAGGTTTAGGATTTTGGGTGTCGGGTGTCAGGGTGTAGGGTTTTGTTTCACAGTGCTTGCTGTCTTGCGTTGAGGCAGGGTCAGCGCATTCGAAAGGAACCTCAAGGACGAGTGGGCATAGGGTACCCAAAACCCTAAACCCTAAAACCTAAACCCTAAACCCAAAACCCTAAACCCAAAACCCAAAAAAAACCCAAAGCCCATAGCAGGCTAGTAGACATCAAGGGCCTTTTGCAGCCTGCCCCCTTCAGGAGTGTGAGAAAGCCAATGAGAAGTTGAAGGAGGATGCAGACACCCACTACAGGGTCAGAGAGGATCTGCGCCGCAAGAACGACACGTTGCTGGGGTTTGCTGTAGTCGTCCTGTGCTTTTTTTTTCTCAACACACACACACACACACACACACACACACACACCTGTGTCCTGTGACAGAGTGAGACAAGTAAGGCTCGAGCGTCAGCTGAGAACCAAGACGGATGAGAATGAGAATCTCCAGCGTCAGTTGAACAGGCTACAGAGCGACTTGGCAGAGTTGAAGGGCAAGGGCAAGGGCAAGGGCAAGAGCAAGGACGAGACCAAGGGCGAGACAAAGGGCGGCAAGAGCAAGACAGAGTCAAAAGGCAAAGGTTAGGCAGACCCAGCCCCTGTGTCACTCTGATGTCATTGTACATTATGCATTGTATTTGCCCAGCCTTGTCGGAGTCATTGGTTGTCACAGTCAACCAGAGAGCGGCAATGGCAAGCGGTGGTGAGAAAAAGCAAATGCTTGCTAAGCTCACAGTCGTGTCTGGCATCGTCAGCCTCTCCATGTTTCCATGGACTGCCATGGACCAAGGTCACGACCTGCGTGTCGGCGTCTGCAAGGCTCGCGTCAGTTCCATGGATGGTTCGTCTGTCGTGTGGTCAGAATTGAACTCACTGACTTTGTCCCGACATGACAGGGGCAAGGCCTGAAGATGATGGAGGTCCAGAGTCAGAACATCATCACTTCAGAGGTGCCGCCCCACCCTTGCCAGTTGCGTGTTCTGGTCTGGAGTACTTGTGGTGCCTTCATTGCTCATGTGACGGTCTCACTGTTTGATGTCGCCTGACTTTGTGATCGGCTGCTGCAGCTTCGGCTCGACTTCTCGAGACGTGTGACGTCTCCAGACACGGACACGTAGACACATCTTTGAAGAGTCAGGACACATGACACATGACATATGACACATGACACACGAGACATCATGTGTCAGAAGGTGGACTTGTCTTATTCAGAGTCAGGGTCAGCTTTAGATGAGCCAAAGCCAAAGCCAAAGGCATCACCGGCCTCAAGCTCGCAGTGTCAGTCTGGACCTGTTGCCGTGCAACCAGTCACGTGTCGCAGAGACCTCCTTCGATAGGGGTGCCCAGCAGGCTGTCCTGCATTGTGTCTGTGTCTGTCAGTGTCAGTGTCATGTCATCATCGTCCATAGCGTCAAACCATGTTGAGATTGAGAGGTCACTTTCTTGCTCTACTTCCTGGAGCCGAGGGCATCGTCAGACCTGCTGCACCACCTGAAGGACAACCCGAAGAACGACGACAGTGCGTGGCTGATCGCCAACGCAAAGAAGGTTGGCAGAGAGCCACTCGGTTCCCCTTGCCCCCAGCCCCAGCCTTACCAACTTATTAGGGTTTGGGTGGTTTGGGCTTTGGGGTTTAGGATGTAGGGTTTGAGTTGAAGGGCTTCGGGTTTAGGGTCTGGGCTAGGGCGGCTAGGGTTGAGGGTTTAGGCTTTAGGATTTAGGGTAAAGGTTTTGAGGCTTTAGGGCTTGGGGCTTAGGGCTTGGGTTCAAGGTTTAGGGTCTAGGCTCCAGCGTTTAGGGTTCAGGGTTCAAAGTCAAAGTAGTCGCCAAAATGTCAGTGCAATTTCCGTGACAATGAGAGTGAGTATGAAGTTTCAGTCTCTGTCTGAGGCTCAATGCCCACGCAGGGATGGCCAGCGTCTGACAATGCTTGGAGACAGGATGGAGGCGGCTGGTACAATGATGGATGGAATCAAGACGGCGGTGGCCAGAGTCAGAGTCAGTACTACACCTGGAACCCACAGCAACAGGACGGTCAGAATCAGGACGGGTGGAATCAACATGATGACCGTCAGGGTCGTGCGTGGAGTCGACAAGATCGCCGTGGTCGGAGTCGCGGCAGGAGTCAACAAGACGACCATCGTGGAAACGGTTGGGGTCATGATGGCCAGGACCAGGGTCAGTATCACGACGGGCAGGGCGGCTGGTGGCATCGTCCTGATGACGGTCAGCGTGGAAGGGATGGATATGATCACGGAGGAGGGCAGGGCAGTGGCTGGTCTCAGAGTGATCACGGACATGGACAGGGGCAGGATAGTGGCCGGGCTGACGGGCATGCCCGGGATGGACATGATCATGGACAGGGTCCGGACGAGCCTCGGCTTGAAGGTTGTGCAGAGTGTGCAGAGTGGAGGTGAATGCCCGGTCCTATTCCTGGTGCCTCGTGGCACTCCTAAGGACCAGGACCAGCGGTGGCAGCAGCAGCAGCAGCCAGGACGTGAGTGGCCAGGCCACGCTGCCAGTCGTATACGGAGTCACTCGGCCACACGTTTGCCCTACACTCGGGCTCCTGCCAGCGTCGACGACGTGATTGAGGTCTTGCTTCTTGACTACTTCGATCGAGTGCAGCAAATAAAATGTAAATAATCCAAGCATTCTTGGCTTGTCTGGGCTTTAAGAGTGGCTAAGGACAGAAATCGGGCAGGACTGGGGGTTGTCGCAGGCCACCCTGGACAGCCTCATCAGCCTCCTCGACTTTGGCCGTGAGGGGTACATCAGAGTCTTTCTGCGCGTGCAACTCGACATAACCCTGGCCGCCGTGCTGAAAACACGAAACTCTAATCCTGCTTCCAAATCAGTCAGCTCAGGACCATTGGCATCCAGGGTCGGCACAACAACCCATCCCAACAACTTGATGGGTGGCTTTCTTCCTTTTGTTATGAGGACAGACGGGCTTAAGTGATTCAGCTTCTGACCTTGTCTGCTTCATTCAATTCCACTGACTTTAAGCTTTGGCGCTCAGAGGACCGACGAATGCTTGAAGAACGACGTCGGGCTCGTGCAGAAGCAGCGTCAGGATCAGGGCTGACAGAAGAACCGCCAGGTCTGAGTCAGCCAGCGCCAAAGGCCCAGCCAGTGCCACAGCCAACCCCAAAGCAAGACCCGAAGCGCCGTCCGAAAGCCAAAAGTAAGGGGAAGGCGCTACCCAAGCCGAAGGCCCAAGCTTTACCTGATCTCCTTGATGCCGATGCAGATGCAGAGGCCGACGGTAGCACCACAGCTGGCACTGTCACCCCCAGAAACGCGAATGAAGCGTAAGTTTTTCAATGTCATTGTCAGTGGCGTCACCACACCACAGCGTTTTGCTCTCGGGTCTGCTGCCCCCGCCTCGAAGTACTGTCATTTTAGGGTCAGCGTGACAGCATGAAAGGCAACCCAGAGTCGCAGTGTCAGATTGTCTACAATCGCAGCAAGGACCCTTTCTCAGAGAGAGAGAGAGCCGCCAATTCAAGGTGTCAAAGTGACGGCGACTGTGCAAGTAGCAACAGTTGCTCAGCCGATGCGCAGCAAGACATCAGCAAAAAGGGCCGCTGCTCTGGACCTTGCAAGTCAAGTCCGTGCTGATGCATTAGTTCAGGCATGTGGTGAGCATGACCTTGACTGCCCTCGCAGGTGCCATCGAACTGGCAGAGTCGGGCACAGGCGGCGCCTAGGGATTAGGAGTTCGGGTTTAGGGTTTAGGGTTTAGGGTTGAGGGCTGAGGGTTGAAGGTTGAGGGTTCAGGGATTAGGGTTTAGGGTTGAGGGTTTAGGGTTTAAGGGTTGAGGGTTCAGGGTTTAGGGTTTAGGGTTTAAGGGTTTAAGGGTTTAAGGGTTTAAGGGTTTAAGGGTTTAAGGGTTTAAGGGTTGAGGGTTCAGGGTTTAGGGTTAGGGTTTAGGGTTAGGGTTTAGGGTTTAGGGTTTAGGCTCCGATGTTTCCCAGGCTGCCTCTGGCCGTCTCAAGCCCCACATGGTCCGCTTTCGCAAGGCCAGCTTGTTTTTGCCTGCAGTGCACTGCCTGGCATGGAGACATGTTGTTAGACATTTGTTTGGCTGTGCCATTAGTCACAGTGACTGTGATACTCAATTCTTCGAGTTTTCTTCAATTTTTTTTATTAAATTTTCTTCAAATTTGTCCAAGAAAATTTCAAAGAAATGAGAAAGAAATTTGAAGGAAAACTCGATAAATTTGAAAGAAACACCTTTTTGGGAACTTTGTTGTGTCCGTTGTGTCAGGCAGAGTGTGAGCTTGCCTGGTAAAGCTGATCCGTCTTGCCTGCGTGTGGTCAAGGCTACTGAAAGCGTTTCCTTGCTCTGCCTCTGCCATACTGACATTGACAGTGATACTCAGTTTTCTCAAATTCTTCGAGTTCTCTTTGAAATTGTGATCAAATTTTCTTCTTTTTTTTCAAGAAAATTAGAAAGAAATTTGAAAGAAATTTGCAAGAAAGCCCGATAAATTTGAAAGAAACACTGTTTTGGGCACTTGTTTGTCTCAGTGGTGATAGCGATAGGAAGAGTCTCAGCGTGCCAGGCAAAGGTGGTCCGGCTTGTTGCTGCCTGAGTGTTTTTTCATTGTGTCAGGTGTCGGCGTCAGGCCGACTCGGCTTCAAAGAGAGTTATAGGTCAAACAGTAAACAGTATACACGTAAGACATGACATGAATCAGCAGTGAGCAAGGGTTTAAGGGTTTAAGGTGGAGGGTTTGGGGTTTTGGAATTAGGGTTTAGGGTTTAGGGTTTAAAGGGTTTAGGTGTTGGGGGTTTAGGGTTTAGGACTTAGGGACTTGTGAAGACACAGTAGACAGGGCCGTGTGGTCACATCGCCATGGACGAACCCCCGACGACGGAGGGTCAGAACTCAGTGTCCGACGACGAGGAAAACGACCAGCATGATCGTGTTGTCAGCGAGGGATCTCTGACGGATGCTGATGAGTCAGTGTGCCAATACGACAACTGCAATCGCCCCGCGGTGGTGGAGATCGGTCTGGCTGCAGTGGCACAAGGGTCAGAGTCAGTGTCAGGGTCACATGAGGTCTGCCTGCTTCAGGCCTTTTGCTGGGAGTGTGCAGCGTCACAGCTTCTGAGATTCAATGGCCGTGAATGGATGGCAGAAGACGGGTGCATCAGGTTTCTTTTCGTGTCAGAGGCAGAGTCAGAGTCAGAGACACACGGCCATGTCGGCCGCTGCAGCAACTGCAGGCAATGTTTTGGGTGCGTGGTGCTGCACAACACACGAGACGGTGAAGAGTCATTGTGCTGGACATGCGCCGCAGTTCGCTTTCTGGAAGCCCGGCTCGGCTTTCTTCAGTTTGTGAAGCAGCCAATGCGAAGTGGCAGTGTCGATGATGACTATGACTATGACGGTGCTGCTGAGTCTGATTCAGTGGCTCTTTAGACCCCATCTCAAGCCTCAAGCCGGTTGCAACTCACACGCGCACAGACGGTCGCAGCGAAAAGAGCTGGCAACATGCGGTAAGGGCAGTGAGATGTGTTTGCCAGGGTTGCGTTGCATGAATCGGTGGCAGGTGAGGATGGCTGGAGTGGAGGTGGTTGCCAAGTTTAGTCCTGAACCTGGCAACCACGTCCACTCCCGCCAGCTTTCCTGTCATGACCTCAGCTTCCTGTCCAGCATGGCATGGAGCAGTCTACAGACTCACCTGCCAAGGTTTTGTCGTCTACGCAGAGTCCACGTCAAGGGCTCAGCTTGCTTTCCTGCTTGGTGCGACTGGGAGTGAGACTACGTTGCATTCCTGGCAGGCTGGGCTCAGGCCGAAGTTCTTTTCATTTACATGACATGTTAATGTTAGGGTCAGAGTTTCACCCGACACTTTTGGTGGAAGATGGCGATCACATTCGTGAATTTGGAAGGCTTGCCAGAATTGGATTGGCCAATGTCGGCCCAGCGCCGCGTTGGGGAGACATTGCCATTGCCGGACATCTTCGCTGACATGGCAGGCCAGAGTCAGACTGAGGCAGCCAGTCAGAAGACGGAGACGAAGGAGGCAGAGTCCACAGGCACAGCTGAAGCAAACAAGACGGCGAAGAAGCCCAAGGCCAAGGCCTGTAACAAGAAGCCCAAGGCCAAGGCCAAGGCCAAGGCCAAGGCCCCTAAGAAGAAGGCCAAGGCCAAGGCCAAGGCCAAGGCCAAGGCCAAGGCCAAGGCCCAGGCCAAGAGCAAGGCGTCGGTGAAGAAAGAGAGTCAACACTGAATGGCCTCGTCGATCAGAATCAGCATCTAGAGTCATAGATTCCCTGAGACTTTGACTAGCTGACTACCTCTGCCTCTGCATCAGTCTTGAAAAGGGAGCTTATCACTACATCCTTGTCTTGTGTCCCATCAGTATACTCAGTATTCTGACAGAAAACCTGTTGCCCAGGTCAGACATGGGGACATCTTGCCCCAGCTCGGTCGTGCGTCGTGCGCTTGGTGACTCAATCAACCAAGTTGTGATGCTTGCAAGGTAAGGTGGCAGAAGTTTGTGAGTCTGAGACAGTGTGCCCTGCAGATTTTAGGCTCTGCAGCTGCAGTTGTGTCAGTGTCATGTCTTTCTCTTCGACGACCGCGCTCACACTATGGAAGGTGCTGGAATTCGACCTCGTCCCCGACTTCGCCGAGCGTCTCTGTCACAACCATGGCACCCTTGCCGAGAAGCTGGTCTTGTTCCCCAGTGTCGAGGCCGCCGTCGAGGGGCAAGCGTATGCAGCAAGGCGAGTCCTGCACAAGACACCCACAGCGTGGGCGTCAGGGTCATTGTCAGTGGGCCACCAGCTGTACATTCCCTCCGATCGCTGGGGCCCTGCAAGAACCAAAAAGGAGGCAGCACACAAAGAAGACCACAAGAACCTGGTGGCCGTCAGTGTCAGTGTCAAAGGCTACCACGATGCCCAGTGTGCGGATCTGCCCCAGGGTGGTGCGGCCTACGTCTTCACCAGCGGCATCAGGGTCAGCGTCAAGGACGTGTTCCTGTACAAGCTGAAACTCGAGACAAAGCTGGAGAACCAGGAGTCGTGATGTAAAATCTGCCCCCGACAGAATCTTGCAACCCAACCCGGAAGACTCGTTCAGGACACGCCGCATGCACCGACAGCGTCAGCGTCCAAGACGGCCGTTGCCGAAGCCGAGGCAGAGAAATTGTCAGCGTTGGTATTCTGTTAGCACTGTCAGCAAGTTGGGAGCCCTAGGCCTGGAAGTCTCACGTCAGGACTGCAGAGCCAGTGCTACAACGTTGGAGTGGAACGGGGTTCCTGTTGCAGAGTCGGCTGTGAGAGCCTAAGACACTCGGTAGCCAGCATTTTGACGGAAGTGACACTATCCCCGTTGCCGAGGACGTCGAAGAGACAGAGTTGCAGGCAGAGAAAGCCGCCGGAGTCGAAGAGAAGCCGACGCAGGAGACGAGAAATCCTAAACACTGAGCTTTAAGCCCTCAACCTTCTCCGTAGGTTGCAGTTGCTTCCAGTGAACGGCAGCCATGCAAACCCAGCAGGACACGGACAGTCCCAGCACAGTCACGAAGTACCTGGCAGTGTCGGCACGTTTTGCGGACGGCCTCCTGCAACGCATGGTCGACTCTGTGGGCACCATGGCACTCATCGAAGTGAATGATTTCGCCGTGAAGATCCCGGCCCCGCCACAGCAGAGTGATGAAGGTGCCATGCCTGCAGTGCCTGCCATTGAGGACTCTCAGGGTCAGGATCCTGGCCCAGATGCGCTACATGAGCAGCAGAGCACACGGTCCTTCATTCCGTTGTATGACTCGGATGTGACCTGCATGATGCATTTCAGCTTCTTGCGGAAGGCGGCCAGGATGTGTGTCAAGAGAGGGTACACGGTGCCCGGCCTTTGGTACGAGCCCGGGAAGAAAAGCGTCAGTGTCCTCGCCAACCCACATTCAGACCACAAGGCCAGGCTGCAAGGCGTTTTGGCGTGTCAGTGTATTCCGGCGGCAAGCCCTTTCGCTGCGTGACCTGTTCCTTTATGGCCCTAAACCTAGTAATTAGGGTTAAGGGTTTAGGGTCAATCACACTCACTGACACCCACAGCAGCAGCACTGTCAGACTCACTGACACCCACAGCAGCAGCACTGTCAGCTTTCAAAGCAGTAGTGTCAGTAGTGCACTTAGGCGGCAAGACCTCTGGCTGCAAGTAGTGTCAGTTTACTTGGGCGGCAAGCCCTGTCGCTTAGGTACATTTCATTGTATCTGTACCTTATGTACCTTAAGTACCTTAAACCCCTTACCCCTGAATTCAGTAATCTGAGTTCAGGGTCAGCGTTTGGGTTTTCTTTATTAGGTTTAGGGATTAGGGTTGAGGGTCTAGGGTTTAGGGTTTCGGGTTTTTGGGTGTAGGGTTTAGGGTTTAGGGTTGAGGGTTAAGGTCTTTAGGGTTTAGGGCTTAGGGTTTAGGGCTTAGGGTTTAGGGTGCAGGGTTTGAAACTTAAAACCGGTTGAGGGTTCAGGTTTAGGTTTCAGGCTTTGGGGTTGATCACAGTTACAGAAGCACTGGCAGGAGCCCGTGAACATCGTGAAGATGAAGCTTCCCCTGACGACCTGGGAGCACATGGTCAGCATGAGGCAGGTGGTGCCAGAGTCACAGCCCTTTCGCCACTGGCAGTTGGTGACCGACATTCCCAATTCGGACTTCATCCAGAAGTGCATGAGCTTGCACAAGGGTCATGTCGTGGAGAGCTTGACTCCAGTGTCAAGCTTGGCTGCATCTTGGATTAATATTGTGCGTATTGTGCAATGTGCAAGAGGACACAGGCTTCGGCATGTGAGTGTGTGACGGTTGGGAGTGACTTCACACGCAGCCCATGTCACTCACTATCGCACTGAGGATTGGAAGGCACAAGCAGATGCCATCCAAAAGGACTATGCCGGTAAGGAGAGCGATTTCAGAGTCATGATGCAAGGCTTGATCTTGTCTTTGTCCGAGGAAGAGGGCAAGGGTCCTGTGTCCAAAAAGCCTCGCAAGCACTAAGCCTGCTTTCCTCTCACTGCCTTCAGACTTCAGAGAGTCAGAAGCAATTTTGGTCCGATTCCGTGTTTGTTGTAGCCCTGGCCGAGCACTGATAATGTGAGAACTCGGCTGGGCAGTGTCAGCGTGCCTAGAGACCGTGGGTGCTACTCCGAAGCTCCCTGAGTCACTGACTGCAGATCGGAGAAAATGAAGAGAAGTGTGTCGCTTCTGCTGTCCTGTTGCGGCGCTTGGTTGCATGTCGTCCTCCAAGGCGGCGGCGATGAGTGTCCTGGGCCCAGTTTTTGCTCGCGTCACAGGCCGGTCACAGTCAGAAGGTTTTGGGCAATGTGACTTTCGAAATGAGTCACTGCAGGTCCTGTGTGCACTCATGGACGGAGCCCATGGCAGTGTCAGGCCGAACATTTGTCACAGCACGGCACGGTTGCCACGGACGGATGGACAGAGGGCTAACCCAAAAAATGTCTGAAAATGACCACAGGTTTTTGGGCTCCGACATGTCCCGGGATCTGTGGCTACCTACCGGGTGGGTAGCCACAGTTTCTCTTGTGTTTATATACGGACTGGTGACCTGGGGGAAATAACTTCTAAACTTCGAATGGCTTGCTAATTACTTTTTATCTAATTTCCATTAGGGGTTGTGGCTACCTACCGGGTGGTTTGCCACAGGTTTTGCCCCTGTCAGACCAAGAAAATCCAGCGGTCATTTTTGGTTTTTTTCCTGGGTCCAGGGTCGACGGCAACCTACCGGGTGGGTGGCCACCACAGGTTGTGTCGCATTCCACGGACGGGCGTAGTTGGGCTCCGGAGGACTAAGAGCAGCTTTCAGTTCAGGGTCCTTAGTTTGTGAGACCCATGTGCAATGGCAGCGATGCCCCTTCCGGACGTGCTGAACCACGACGAGGGTCATGACGAGGTTGATGACCCTGCAGCCAACTTTGTTCACAAGCCAGCTGGCCGAGGAGGACACCTCAACAAGCAAACTCAGGACGGGCGGGGGAAGCCTAAACCCTAAACCCTTAAGCCCTAGACCCTCAATGCTCATGCTCAACCCTTAAACCCTAAACCCTGCTTCAACCCTCAAACCCACTTCAACCCCGAAACACTAAACCCTTAACCCTTAACCCGGTAACCGGTAACCCTTAAACATCTAAGCCCTTAGAGCTTAGAGCTTAAACCCTAACCCCTGACCCCGGGTAAGCCTGAAACCTTGAATCCTGAACCATTTTTCGTTTAAACCCTCAAACCCTGAACCCTGGACCTTAAACCCTAAACCCTAAACCTACACCCTAATAAGGCAGCAGGCTAATAAGACAGCAGGCAGAAGACGAAAGCCAGTGTTTACGGTTCAGAGTCAGGGAAAGGGTTTAGGGTTTAGGGGTGTGTGTCGAAGGTTGCGTATAGGGTCAGTCGGCCCTGTTCAGGAGATCATATACCACATGTCCAAAGTCATGCAGGGCTGTGTCAGAGACATAGCCGATGCCTTGGGCTTGGATTGCAGAGTCCGGCTCTACGGGCTTTTGGCTCACCTGACTGGTATCTCCCGGCAAGCGATTGAACGGTGCTGCGACAATTTGGTCGCGAGGCGTGGCATTGCCCAGGAGCGAGTGCAGCGAGGCGGACGTAAGAGAAAGACACCGGAGTCAGCGTCGGGGCTTCCGGACATCTCCGACTTTTTGCCAGATGACATTGTCCAGCGGCCCATTCTGGATGGAGCAGCGTCAATGGACTCAGGGTCAGGAGCAGAGCTGGATCCAGATGTGGAAGAGGACATGTTGGTGGGACAATTGATCCCAACTGGTGGTGCGGTGTCGCAGTCAGCAGAAGATCCTCCTCCTGCAGGCAGCGCAACATATGCACCAGAGTCATTGTTTTTGGGAGCACGACGAGTCACAAAGGAAGCTCTTCGACGAAGTCAGATTGCTGGGTACAAGAGTCAGAGTCAAAGTGAACTGCAACCACTCTCGGTACTTGATCCGGCAGCCAGGGAATCTGTTGTGGGGCTTCGTCTCTGCTCGTTAGCGCTGCGGCTGGAGACCAGAGCTTTGGGGTCCAGAGAGTTTGAGTCTACAATCGATTGGCTCGACCTGTGGTTCCCAGGCCAACTCGGGCAGGCTCCTTGGTAAGGCTTCATTCAGTTTGAATTTGTCAGGAGGGCAGAGGGGAATCTTTTTGTGTCCCCGGAGAAGCGTGTAAGGCTCACCACAGCAGACGCTTCATGGATGAGCTCTTAGTGTCAGCCAAGCAAGCCCTGCAGTTCAGGATCAGTGAGGACCTGCAGGTGTTGCTCCCAGCATTGGGGTTGCCCAGCTTCGTGAAGCTTGTCTGTGACGGGTTCACCCCACAAACAGGCGAACCTTTGGACATCGAGATGCTGCAAACATGCTCAGAGACTGGGTCAGTCGACAGTGTCCTGCTCAACATGCCTGCAGCCCGCTCCATCTCTTCGGCCAAGAAGTCACATGGTTACACAACGGTAGAGCCCGGTAGAGCTTTACATTTCTGTTCTTTTGTGCGTAGTCAGGTCGGCGTCATGAAGCTTCAGCATTGCATTTAGAATTCGTATTGCTGATTGGGGAAGTGAGGTCACCGACTGAGCAGCTCACAGAGACGAGGCTGGAGACTTTACGTTCGCTCGGTGTGGACGAGTGTCAACTACGGTTCCGATGCCTGGGGTTCACAGGAGATGGGCTTTTGGCCGGGCCATTTGGCAGCGACAACGGTCTTTGCCTGGCACGTGCCCTTTACAAGCGTGTCAAGCCGCCGGCCCCGGATGTCGAGCAGCCGCTGGCTTCCCTCATATTCCAAGTCGACGTCAGACGGCAACCTGCCCCTGCCAGCAGACTTCTGGTCGGCGTTGGACTCGATGCACGCAGCAGACAAAAGTGGTGGCCATGCAGACTATGCAGAACAAGGCCGCGGAGGCTTCGTATCGCAATTCCACAGCGTCACCAGGAGTATCAAGACAGGATATGGATTCGGTAAGGGTCTCTCTGTGGCTCGCAGTGTCAGCAAGCGCTTTGGCATAAGCTGGCGTTCGCCAATGGCTCCAGCGTCAGAGTCAACCAGGCTTGTGGCGTTCGAGAGCAAGCGGATACCGCCCAATTTCTTCCACAACCTCCGCGTCAGTGTCGGAGCCGTGGCAGTGTCGATTCAGTCTTTGCTGGAAAGGGCGAAGAACGCATCACTGCGTCAGGGTCATGAGGCCAGGGAGGACTGTGGCATGAACCTGGCCGAGGTCAAGGCGTTGCGAAGATTGGGGCGGGACATTCTGTGTCCACAGATGCTCCTCTTCGTCTCCCTGCGCTATGACTCCAGAGTCACAGGACTGCCTGCTCCCTCACAACTCAAGTTAGAGCCATTGTCATGGTCATGGTCCTTGTCGTTTCTTCCGGTCTTGGCCCGTCAGGATTGCTTCGGTACCTCTACGTGTCCCAGAGCCGCCAAATGTCTGGGCATGCCAAGCTGGCTCTTGCGCTGCAGTGTCATCAAAACATGAGGCGTCAACTGGCAGCGGTTCAGGGTCTACGAGGGGCTTTGCAGTGTTGGAAAAACTTGGCCGATGGGGTGGATGGTTCAGCCTGCCCTCGACAGAGTCTGTGTGGACGAGAGGCCCGAGACGCTTTTGTGGAAGTGTTAGTTCAGGAAACTTCCCAGAGATGGTTTCCCACCGCCACTGCTCTCTTCTTGGAGATGCTGTTTCAGCGTCAGTGTCTGAAATGCCCCCTGGGGCTCAATGCCAAGGAGCCGCACCCTTTTGCAGAGCCCAGGCACATGAGCTCTCGGCGTTCGGAGAGCAGTTCGCAGGCTCGCGCACGGGTTTTCTCGGAGCTGGACTCTGCCCTGATTCGTTTTCGCAAATGGCTTTGTGATGAAAGGCATTTCTTCTATGTCCGGGTCATACACTGGTCTGCCTCTGGCATTCCTTCAGAGTTCTTGACAGCAAAAGGACTCGAGGGCCGGGACCGAATCCCCAAAGATATCGCGGAAGAAGCAGAGTCAACGGACAAAACAGCCCTGCCCGACGTGTTCCTCGAGGATGAAGAGGAAGTCGTTTCGATGCCCAATGCCACTGCCTCCTTGGGGTCATTGCAAAAGCTTTCCAGCGTCAACGGCTCCACAGCACACTGTATGGCACAGATGAGCGGAAATGCTGAGGCGGGCGTGGCAGATTCGGAATCAGAAGGAGAGGACGTGGCAGACGGAAGCACAGAAGATGTAGATTCAGTGTCAGCAATGACACTGTCAGAGATAAGCAGGAGTTCTTCCTTGACGTGTGCCTGGCCAACAACAGAGTGGAAGCTGACCTGCATGCGACGAGCAATCGTGGCTTAGCTTCTGCGTGGCAGATTTTGTGGCGAGTGTGTTTAAGATCCGGAGAGCAGCTTAGTGACATTTCCTTGGAACCCCCCTAATGCTCTCCCAGGCGCAGTCCGTAGAGATGGACAAGAAGACAGAGAATGCAACTCAGTGTCGCCCGCCGGCAAGACCTGGTGTTTTGGATCAGTGGAGGCGGGTGCCACGGCTGGATATGTCTTTGATCCGGAAGCCAGATGGTAGGCTTGTGTTTCGGGAGAATTTCCTTTCGCAGGGCGACTTGTGGGTTCAGATGTTCAGAAAGCGGCCTCAGTGTCTGCAAGGTTCCCGTTGGTGGCATGTTTCTGAAACAATCCGAGCACAAGCTGCAGCGTCAAGAGTCTGGCTGGATGTGGCGAATGTCGAGGTGGGCTTCGACGAAGCAGAGATGAACATGAAACGGGAAGCCTTGTGCCATTTGGCTCGCACTTTCGGTGCCATGTGTTGGGGTCGACAGCGTGACGAGTGCCCCTACCAGAACCCTCCAGAGGAGCTCTTCAGGTCTCCGTCCGAAAGCCAGCTTTGGAAAGGTTACCTGCATCTTCGAAAGTTCGCCGCCGTCATTGTCAAAAACAAGGACAGGGTCAATCTGGAGAAGATGCATTGGGCTCTCCGTGATGCACTTCTGCTTAAAACCTTTCTGGCTGAGGCTCCTCTGAACAAGGTTCGCAAATTTGAAGGCTTCTGGTTCATTTTGGTGCTGTGGCACGCCTGCCACATCTGGGGCTTGAGTTCGTCAGCGTCCTGTGAGGGTGTGGGATCCACTGCTCGATGGCTCGAAAAACGAAAGCATGGAGGCAGAGCATGGAGCACTGGACACCTGGTGAGGGCAACCATGCTGAGGTACCAAGGCGTGGTCCTTTTACAACTTTAACGCATGCAATGGCATGTAAACCCATGATTTCAGGGTCAGGAGCACATAAGCCTCAGCCACGTGGAAAGCCCTGGTGGCAGGCGTTTCCGGCTCCTTAGCTGACATGGGCTTCGCCTTCAGTGTCTTCAACCTCCACCGTGAGCTGCGACCCAAAACATCTTCTTTCTTCCTCTCCAAGAGAGCGACGAAGCGACGAGAGGCGTGGATGTCCGTGTTTGCAGTGTTTTGTGACGTCTACACTGAGCCTTGATCCTGGGACTGGTCGCGATACCACCATCCGGCCGGATGGTCGTGTCGTGACCAGCCTCAGGGTGTGACGCCAGGGTGGACACATGCTCGAATCTTACTGGTTCCAATTGGGTTGCATGTTGTCTTCAAAACGGGAGCAGCAAATATTCAGGTACCACTGTTGCTGGCTTAGTTTTTCTTTCCTTATCAACGACCGAACATAATGCATGAGAGTTGGCGACAGGCAGAGTCAGACGAAAGATTTGGTCCAAGTTTGACATTGCACCGGCGACGAGGTAAGAAAGAGGCAGAGACATTGTCAGTGTGGCAAGTCGGCCGCCGGCCATGGCTGGCCAATGCGACCGCTCGCCCCAGCAACAGCATAGCAGTGAAGCCTAGGAAATTCACTGTCATTAGCCGAGACGCGCAGCACGATTTCACAGTGTACTCGCCTTCCAGTCTCCCGATGGAGTTGTGGAGCAGGGTCACAGCTGCGTTGCACAGACTCGGACTTTCTATCGAAGGTGACCTGCCAGCGTGAGGGGCTAAAAGAAAGGCGTCCTTCGGTGTGCCAGCAGTCAGACTTTGCACCAGTGTCCGCGGAATTGTCCAATCTAGCCGTCAGTGCCTGCACTTGAACGACTTGTGCTTGCAGGCAGCCCTGGCGGCGTTCCGACAGGGTGTTCCTGGCGGCCCTGACCTGTTTGCTTCCTTGCACGTGCGACATGCCACAGTGTCTTCATGTTGAATGCCAGGCTTCGTGACATTCTGCTGGGCCACAGGCGCCTTGTGACTTCTTCATTGTCTTCCAGTAGCACTGCCCCTGCATGCTTCACCTGGCTCTGACTGTGACGTGCGTCCTGCTGATTTATGCTTCAGGAGAGAGAGAGTGGGGTTTGGCTTTTCGGCCTTCACAGTTTCTTCTTTACGGGCGGCACGGGTAGGTATCGTGCAGATGAATGTACGGCAGTTCCGGAAGGCAAGACAAAGCACAACAGCACGGAAGCAATGAGCGAAGCTCCTGAGACCATGGAAACGGACTCGGCAGCGTCAGTGCCAGTTTCAGCGTCGACAGACCCAGATGAGACAGCAGACGTGGCGGTAGAGAGCCCACGAACATGCGAGAAAGAGGCCGACCTGCGTGTTCGTGTCCTGCGAGTGTGATGATGTCAGTGTCATGCTTGGAGTACAGCCGTGCTGCTTGTGCTGCAATGTGACGAGGTGGGCGAGGAGGAGGAAGTGCAGAACACATGCCCTCGCTTCCTGGAGTTTGTGAAGCAACTGAGACTTGGATAAGCACATGCATGTCTTGCGATGGTTTGCACTGCCTCCGTGTGGGCGTCTGTGTTTGCAGTCATCACTTAAGTGACGTGAGAGAGCCTGCTTGCCCATGCCCTGGATTCAATCGCTGGGGGGCCCGAGGGGCGACAGGGACTGTGACACTGAGAGTCAGCCATGCCGTTCACTCGACTGAAGGAGCTGGGACTTTCCAAGGCTCCATCGTGCTATGCCCTTTTCAGGCACCACGTGGCAAAGCATGGCATCCAGAGTCATGAGCCATCAAGACGACTTCGTGTGAAGACAATGGTCAACAAGGATTTGCTTGGGAAGTGGAGGAAATTACCCCTCTCACAGAAGGCAGCCTTCCAGGCAGAGGCTCGAGAAAGAGCCCAAAGAGTCATGGATGAAAAGAAGAGGCTCCTGGAAGCTCGGAGCAAGGTCGGTGGCAGCACACCAGAGGAAGATGCAGGTCATGGTGACGGCCGCCCGGCATCAGTGTCAGTGTACAGGCAAGACACAGGAGAAGCTTGGCGTCGAGAGGAAAAGCTCGGAGGTGGAGCGTACGGGACGGTTTGGGCCTTGTGCAACACATTGTCAGGGGTCAGGCTTGCCGGGAAAGAATGCCCTGACTTGGCTGAACTGCAAAAGGAGCAGAGCATCACAGGCAAGTTCCGGTCACCGTTCGTGGTGTCGACCTATGGGTACTGCATCGGCCCACGGAACAGCGTCATGCTGCTGATGGAAAGGGCAAGTTCTTGTTTGAAGGCAATGCTTGAGAAGGAGGGAGAGTGTGGTGCCTTGCCTTTGTTTTGGCTGCTGCGGTCAGTCTCTTCTGTCGTTGTGTGTCTTTGTCGTGAGACTTTTCTCACCTCATCAGCCACCCAGGACTCCAGGAGGCCTCCTCTGGCAAACTCTTGCAGCGATGGCAGTTTGTGCACCAAGTGTGTGCCGGTCTGGCGCATGTCCATGCTGCTGGCCTTTTGCACTTGGATCTCAAGGCCCAGAACATCCTGGTTTTCCCAGAGAGCGGCTGTGTCAAGATCAGTGATTTTGGCATGGCGATGTCGACAGGTCCCCGTGGCACTTGCAGGGTCATCGGCTCCCAAGTTTTTACGTGCAAGTACCGAGCCCCCGAATTGCTAGAGGCTGGAGACAAAGAATGTGAGACGGGGCCAGAGTCAGATGTTTTTGCCCTGGGGTGTGCCTAGGACCTTGTGGGCAATTTTCTTTTCTCTTTCGCCGGTTTTGGTTGGAGACGATAAAGTTTGTGTTGAAAGGCTTCCTGTTTGGGCTCCTGGCAGGCACTATGTTCAAGCTGTTGTCCGTGCACGGCCTCACGTTGTTTTCTGCGGCGACCATGCGAGGAATGCAAGCAGTCCGGAGAGAACAGCCTGGACAGGGGCTAGGAGACTCCCTGACTGCCATGTGGAAAAGAACTCTTGCAGCACTGCTAGCGTCAGAAGCATGCGAGCTGGCCCACAGGGAAACATCACTCCCGCTGATCCAGTCTGTAGTTGCTGTGAAAAGCTCCAGAGTCAGGTTGAGTGTTATCCAAGACAAAGTGCAGAAGCACCTTGAAGAGATACAGAGTGAGGACGTGGACTAATCGTCCTCACTCTGGCCCAGGAAAGCGGGGAAAAAGGATCGATGGGTGCGTACGTTTTGCGGGCAGTACAGATGCGTCGTTGCCATGCGGTGTTTGCAGCGTGGGAGTACTACAGCTGAAAGCTAAGGATTGAAGCCTGGCCAGAGCCAGAGTCAGTGTGGGACTTCCTTGCGAATCTGGCCCGTCGACATGGTCAGAATCTCTACGAGGACATGAAGAAGATCTTTCCGTTTCGCAAGGGTCCAGGCTGTGATGGCAACTGTCATGCGACCTAGCTGTTCCAGTGTCATGTCACCTCGCTGTTGGCTTGAGTGTAGTCTGCGATGCAGGCATTTGCTACACCGGCCTGCAGAACAAAGTCAGTGTCAGCGTCACTGGTCAGAGTCAGAGGCTGCCAAAGAAAGGCCAGATCCACGTGAGCATGCTGAACCCGTTCAGGCGAGAGTCATACCCCATGCTGCCGTTTCGGCAAGACATTGTCTTGCGGGCAGAGGTCATCGCGGAAAGAGGCCTCGCAGAGTCAGTGTCAGTGCACCCTCTGCTGGGAACGTCAGAGTTCCCGTCAGGGTCAGGAAACCGGTGCTTCTTTGCTGCCGACGGCGCTTACGTCAACAGCGTCAACGTGGCAGCTGTCAGCGTCATTGTCATGGCGGCCCTGCAGTACCCCAAGGGGCTCCCCACAGCTGCTCGGCCTTGGGGTCAGTGTCATTTGTCTTCCGGGTGACTGAGCGAGTGTCAGTGTCATGACTCGACGTTCCATGTCTGTCTCTGCGAGGAGGTGGTGGATAGCCTCAGCGTCATTAATGTGTCACTGTCAAGCACTGCACGGAAAGCGAGCGGTGTCCACACGGGTGCAGACAAGAGCAACACGGACAGACTGACAGACATGTTCCGTGACTCGGCTGCCATCAGAGAAGCGACATTCATGTTGACCTGTTGATCTGGTTTTGACAATCCCCCAGCCCACCGGCGTCAATGAGTTTTCTTTCACCTGTTGTTCAGAGTTCAGACAGGTGCTAATGTTGAAGCCAATGTCAAACAAATGGCCATGTACTCTACCCTCTGCGTGACTGCGTGATATACTGTTTTCAGAATTTGTTTGCGTCAGGAAGCAGGGTGATGACTCTTGTTGCGGCCTGCGTCTTGCCCAGGCTACAGGAAGCATTTGCTTGCTCTGCCTCTGCCATACTCACATAGACAGTGACACTCAGTTTCATTAAATTCTTCAAGTTTTCTTTCAAGTTTTTATCAAATTTTCTTCAAATTGTTTCAGGTAAATTTGAAAGAAATTTGAAAGAAATTAGAAAGAAACCCGATAAATTACAAAGAAACACTATTTTGCCAACTGCTTTGTGTCAGGCAGAGTGTGAGCTTGCCTGGTAAAGCTGCTCCGTCTTCTTTCCTGCGTGTTGCCGAGGCTACAGGAAGCATTTGCTTGCTCTGCCTCTGCCATACTCACATTGACAGTGATACTCAGTTTCATCAAATTCTTCGATTTTTCTTTCAAATGTTTATCATATTTTCTTCAATTTTTTCAAGTAAATTTGAAAGAAATTTGAAAGAAAACCCGATAACTTTGAAAGAAACACTGTTTTGGGCACTTGTTTGTGTCAGGCAGAGTGTGAGCTTGCTTGGTAAAGCTGCTCCGTTTTCTTCCGGCCTGAGTGTTTCTCGTAGTGTCAGACGTCTGTCGTCAGGCCGACCCGGCTTCAAAAAGAGTCATAGTCATATGACACGGAACAGTGAAAACAGAAATATAAAAGTACCTGGAACCAGGGTTCCTTAATTCAGGGAGGGTGATAATTGAGTCCCGGCCTTGAGCCTGCGGGGGTCACATGACTGCTTTCTGCCGCTGCAGTTTGACCCGAAACCTTTCCCTGACCCTAAACACCCCTGTCAGGTGAGTCCAGCGTGGCAGCGAAGACGAATCGCCCGTTGGACCCCGTCAGTGTCACAGAGGCTTGCATCTTGCTTGTGGGGCGAGATGCTACCACGTTGCGAAATGTGGTGACGGCCTACAACAACAAGGTGTGGGGTCACAAGGACTTCAGGGAGTGCAGAACGTAAGCAAGACCCGGTCTACTCATGCAGGCATGAAAGTGTCGCAGGACCTGGCAATGAACAGCAAGGCTGATGCTCGGGTGCAGAACCTGGGGACAGTGTCCGTCGAGAATCGGCGGAAAATGCTGGACTATATTGGGCGGGTCGGCTGGGGGACGCCGCAGTGCACGTGGACGAACAAGATCTTCGACATGCTGGCAGGGGGCCCGACTTGCTAAACTGACTTGTTCCTTTGCCTTGTGCCAGACAGTGCCAGAATGGCAGCAGTGCCTGGCGGCATGTGCTCCGGTCTGCCGCCCTAAGGCCTTGTACGTTGGGAAGTTCACGAAGCAGACCTCTCATGCAGAGCTGCGGAAGATTTTGGTGACGACCGACATGGCCCAGAGTGCTTTCATCGACTGGATGCAGGCGGAAGAGCGTGTCAGCGTCACTCCTGAGGAAGCTGTTCCTTGACTGTCTTGTCTTTCTCTTCATGTTGGTGGTCACTTGTCATTGTGCAGCTTGGGCTGAGTAGAAGCAAGGGAAAGTTCTATGAGCATTACGCTTCCGTGCCTTGATGGCATGTTGCTGGCCAAGGCCAGGGTCATGGCCAAAATGGTGCTGGCTTGCCACATTCACGACAAGGTCTTAACGGTGGGCCGAGTACCCAAACCAGACCGCGAGGACTGGCTGAACAAGGCCATGTTTCGCAGCAAGTTCGATGGATTTTTGGAATCGTTTGTTGACCATTTGCCAGAGTCCTTTGAGACTCTAGTCTGACGTTGGAACAGGGACATGAGGCGTCTGCCATAGTAAATAATAGTACTGTGCGTGAATGTTCGCCGCCCAGTTGTGTGCCACAACCAAGGATCGACCAGCTGGAACTGTTCGCTCGGCAGCACATTCCCAGCGTCAAAGCCATCCTGGATGAAGTCCAAAATGCACTGTCCCCAAGTGCAGGGTCGTTTCTGAGTGATACTGGTGCGCAGAGCTTGAGTGAGTTGGAAGTCCAGAAGATCCAGCTCTTGAGTGAACAGTACCAGTGTGACCTGAAGAATGACATGGCCCAGTACAGACAATTCCGTGAAGGCCATGTGACGCATCTCAGCAAGTGGCACACAGCGCTGGAGGAACACAAAAAGCAAGGCCGAGAACGTGACCGAGCTGCAGCGTCCTCGTTCCTGTCAAAGTACCTGAAACTGATCCACATCGACCCAGTGTCGACCAAGGCCGACCACTTCAGGAACGAGTTTGTCAAAGAGACCGCCACCTTCATGAAGAGTGTCCTCGGAGATGTTCCCGACAAGGAGGTGGCCGAGGTGTTCGTCATAGATTTACGATCTCAGGGGGCACTGAAGAAGAAGCTCTTGGAGATGGCTCTTACAGTGTCAATGGCGTACCCCAACGCACTGAAGCTGATCTCCGAGCCAGTGTTGTGTAGGCACAGGCCAGGCTTGCTGAAACCCTGAACGTTTGACAACCGATCAAGCCCGAACCCCCAAGCCCTAAAGCCCTAAAGCCACTGCTCCCACACAGGACAAATGGTTAGGGTCTCTCCTGTCAGTTTGGGGCTTCAATCAGGTTTGGGGTCGATTGTCAGAGTCCTCAGGACTCGGAAGTGCAAGAGAGGGTCGGACGGAACGGAAAAGCCTGCCGACGGTGGGGTGGAGCAGTGCGAGAGCGACTCCTCAAGCAGCGACGATGAGGAGGACCTGTGTGTGCAGCCAGGGTCCTCTCCAGCCTCAGAGTCGCAGCTGCCCGAAACAGGGTCCCGCTCCAGCGTCTCCCTGACAACGATGCAGAAGAAGCAGCTTCTGTCGGGTGACCTTCGGTTCTTGGGCCGGATGCTCGAGGATTCCCTGCAGGCCCAGAAGTTTCAGAACTCAGTAAAGCAGTCCTGCGCAGCTATTGTGTGTCTGCCGAGTCCTGCGTCCTGCGTCTCTGTCATTGTCAGAGCCGGCGTCCCTGTTGCTGTTAGTTTTTGTGTCTTTGGAATGTCGCGTCGCATGCGTGTGACATGTCAGAGGTACCGGACATCCACATCAAGATGAGCTACGTCGCCACAGTGTCACCGTGCCAAATCCTGCATGGTCGACTCACGAGGGATTTCCATGCGTTAGTGCCTGTGCACGGAGACAGCTGGCTGGAGTACACGAGCTTTGTGCGAGGCGGCACCAATGTACCGCCGGCGAACACATACACCAAGATGTCTTTCCAGGCCGCGCAAGCGGCACGGACCCACAAACTGTGTGACAGGTCCACGGTGCGCAACGTGGGCATGAACCAGCGTGCACAGCTCGGCCCTGACGCCGTTGCTGTTATGTTGGACGAGTTTCTGCAGAAGCTTCCTGCGGACAACAGTGTTCGAGCTGTGAAATTGTATGGGGTGTGCTGCGGAAACCCCGATTGGTCCAGTGGCTTCCTCCAGACCCTATGCAATCAACAGCGCAGCGACGCCGTCCAAGTCAAGATGGCCGCCGTGCTTGCCGATGTCAAAGAGCACAGAGTCACCATCAACAAGGTGCACGCTGTGGAGACTGTCGTCCCCTTCTTGCAGTGTCTGCGTCTGCCAGACTACCGGCCACTGGGGCCAACGCCTCCAGGCTGGGAGGGTCAGGAGCCATCGAAAAGAAAATTGTGGCAGGAGTTGGAGAAGGTTCGCGCCCAACTCAGTGTCAACTGCGAAATCACGGACACCGGCTCATTGCGGTTGAAGGACTGCCCTGCGAAGCTGGCTGGGATTGACAGTGTCAAAACCGCCCGTACTCAGTTCCAGGCAGCGTCACAGTCACTGGGTGAGCCCGAAAGCACCACTGCCAGTGTCCAAGCTTCTGAGCCAGCGCCCATGGACCGCGTCAGTGTGAATGAGGACGAGGCGTTGACGCACACAGCCTTTGAAGCCAGATACAGCGTCGAGAGCAAGTCTGCGGCAAGCCCTCGAAACTTCTTCTTCGTGCTGGCCAAGTTGAAACCCCAGCAAGAGTGTACGGAGTCGGAGTCAAGGACAGACACACACCTCACGCTTTGGATTTCCAACGAGACCGACAGCGTCATCAAGATGCCGGCGAACTCGGAGGTTTGTGGCTTGGGGAGGATGGTCTTCAAGCAGCTGTCGGGCCAGGGCATTGACAGTGTGCAAGGTCAGAGGGCTGTGAAATGGGATTTCGCTGGCGCCGCAGGAGTCGGGGTCGCGGCCAACACCTTCAAGCTTGCTTTCGAGAAGCCCGGAACAACAGGCTATCGTGCTAAAACATGTTCACAGTGTCTCAGGCCGGGTACCAGTCTGGATTTCTCGCGATACATGTCATGATGCTTGAGACGATTCGTGTTGTTGCTGCGCTAGTAGCCACCTGCCACGTGCCCTCAACCACTCTGTGCCAGGGACCTGCAGATCAATCCGGGAAAGACTTTGCGGCCGGATTTCTTGCTATGGAACATGAAGACGACAGTGTCCTCCAGCAAGGCCTTGTCTTTCCAGCCGCTCACGCCCGTGGCGGCAGTTCTGGCAGAGGGCGAGTGCGAGCCTGAGAAGATCACCGTCGACAACGTCATCTTGGCAGCAGGTTTGTTTGCGTTTGCCACGAACCTCCGCATGACTGGTCCCTCCTGATGTTTGTGTGTCTGTGTGTGTCTGTGTGTCTGTCTGTGCCTGTGAGCGTCTCTATGTCCGTGTCTGTGCCAGTTGTTCTGTAACCAAGGCTGGTGGCTTCTTGATTCCCAAAGTCCCGGATGATGCGGAAGCCGATGGTGTTCTTTTGCCACTGTCGCTGCCATTGTCATCCAAGTTCTTCTTGGCTCCCGTGCTGAACACCAACCAGGCCAGGATCAGGGCCAGTGTGAGTGGTCATGTCCATGGACAAGGCAACAAGTTTGGCCTCAGCAGTGTAGTACAGTGAACTCACAGAAGGAGAAGCGAAGACAAGAGTTGCGGGATGCCAAGGTCGGAGTGTCAGCAGCTCTGGCCACCGATGCAAGTGAGGCCGCGCAAGGGCAGAAGCAATTCGTTTTGCAGCCTACAAACGACAGTGTTGTGCTCTTGGCTTTTACAAAAAATGCAATGGAAATCCCAGCCAAGTCACTCATCCGAGTCGATGCCGCAGTCAGAGTCGGCTGACTCTTTGTGTACTTGCCCTGCCCGGCCTGCCCGCCATATGACATATGAAGGATGATAAATACCCCTAGTGTTGCAAAGTAAAGAGAAGCGCCCCGAGATGATCAGATGTGCGTTTTGTTCGATAAAACGATGAGAGTACTAAAAGAACGATAACGTGCAGAATAATGAGAAAAGTAAACAAGACCGATGTCGTATGTCAGGGATATTTTCCAGAATAGGGGGGTTTCATGCTTCCGCATATGGAATGGCCTGGCATGGCGGTACGGCGTGCCACAAGGCAAATGACAGCCGGTCAATAGCCGTGTCCGTGTCCGGAACCCTGGAAGCATCCTGTTTCACACAGAGATGCGCTTTCTAATTTCCTGCGAATCACTGTCAGAGTCAGACTACCAGGTCGCTGTCAGACTCGAAAAAGTCCTGCTTTGCACTCTATGGCGCTTGATTGCTTCAGCAGCAACACTGAGCAGTGTCCTTGTTTCATGTTTCGCAACGTGACAGCCCGGCAGGTCAGCTTCCAGAACAGTCTCGCCAAGACCGCTGCAGCAGTTTCGGAAAAAAAAAACAAACATGATGTCTTCAGTGTCAGCAGTGTCAGAAAGGAATTTGTGTGTGAGTGTCTGTGTTTCTCTGTGTGTCTGTGTGTTTGTTTGTGTGTTTCTGCGTGTGTGTTTCTGTCTGTGTCTCCGTGTTTGTGTCTGCGTGACAGTGTGCGAACCTGTGTGTGTGTGTGTGTCTGTGTGTGTGTGTGTCTCTGTGTGTGTGTGTGTGTCTCTGTGTGTGTGTGTGTGTGTCTGTGTGTGTCTGTGTGTCTGTGTGTTTGTGTGTGTGTGTGTGTCTGTGTGTGATTGTGTGTGTGTGTGTGTCTGTGTGTGTCTGTCTGTGTGTGTGTGTGTGTGTGCGTCTGTGTGTCTGTGTGTGTGTGTGTGTGTCTGTGTGTGTGTCTCTGTGTGTATCTGTGAGCGTGTGTCCGTGGTGCGTATATCTGCCTGTCTGCCTGCGTGCACACTTCGAGTGTCACTGTCAGAGCATGGTCACACCCTTCTAAAGACCCCCACCTACATTCGGCACACGGTCCACCATACTGTGTCGGATGCCGCTGAGCTGGCCGTCATGCGGGGGGGACTGACGCGAAACCAGCACCCTTCAGGCCAACGCTCCCCCAGGACCGGGGGGAGTATGACAGCAAGGCACATGGGCTAAGCGCTTGCTGGGGGTGTGACTGCTGTGTGAAGACACGGCAACAGGTCAGAGTCTGACCCAGACAGAGTCTGTGTCAATAAAGAGGGAGGCCGCACTGTGCGTGATGCGTACTCCTGCCTGTCTTCTTTGTGCTTGCGCGTGTTGTCTGTGTCTGTGTCAGTGCATGGTCACCCCCTTCCAACGACCCCCACCTACATTCGGCACACGGGCCACCACACTGTGTCGGATGCCGCTGAGCTGGCCGTCATGCGGGGGGAACTCGACAAAAAGCACCCTTGAGGCCAACGCTCCTCCGCAGGTCCGGGGGGAGTATGACAGCAAGGCACATGGGCTAAGCGCTTGCTGGGGGTGCAGCTGGACTGCTGTGTGGAGCTGTGTGCTGGCACACCGTAGCACCCAGTCAAGGTCAGAGTCAAAAAAGGGAGGCCGTGCGTGCTGCGTTCTCCTACCTGTCTACTCTGTGCCTGTGTGCGTTGTGTGTGTCTCTGTCAGTGCATGGTCACCCCCTTCCAAATACCCCCACCTACATTCGGCACACGGGCCACCACACTGTGTCGGATGCCGCTGAGCTGGCCGTCACGCGGGGGGAACTCGACAAAAAGCACCCTTGAGGCCAACGCTCCCCCGCAGGCCCGGGGGGAGTATGACAGCAAGGCACATGGGCTAAGCGCTTGCTGGGGGTGCAGCTGGACTGCTGTGTGGAGCTGTGTGCTGGCACACCGTAGCACCCAGTCAAGGTCAGAGTCAAAAAAGGGAGGCCGTGCGTGCTGCGTTCTCCTGCCTGTCTGCTCTGTGCCTGCGTATGTTGTGTGTGTCTCTGTCAGTGCATGGTCACCCCCTTCCAACGACCCCCACCTACATTCGGCACACGGGCCACCACACTGTGTCGGATGCCGCTGAGCTGGCCGTCATGCGGGGGGAACTCGACAAAAAGCACCCTTGAGGCCAACGCTCCTCCGCAGGTCCGGGGGGAGTATGACAGCAAGGCACATGGGCTAAGCGCTTGCTGGGGGTGCAGCTGGACTGCTGTGTGGAGCTGTGTGCTGGCACACCGTAGCACCCAGTCAAAGTCTGAGTCAAAAAAGGGAGGCCGCACACCACCCCCACCACTACCCTCCCATATCCGCCACCCCTGGACTTCCGAGCGTGCTGCGTGCTCCTGCCTGTCTACTCTGTGCCTGCAAGTGTTGTCTGTGTCTGCCTCACTGCAAGGTCGCCCCTTCCAATGACCCCCACCTACATTCGGCACACGGGCCACCACTGTGTCGGATGCCGCTGAGCTGCGGGGGGAACTCAACAACCAGCACCCTTCAGGCCAACGCTCCCCCGCCCCCGCGAGCCCGGGGGGTGTATGACAGCAAGGCACATGGGCTAAAGCGCTTGCTGGGGGTGCAGCTGGACTCCTGTGTGGAATACACAGCAGCCGGTCATAGTTTGAGTGAAAAGGGAGGCCGCACACCAACCCCCACCACTATCCCCCTGACATCGGCCACCCCCCTGGAAGCGTGCGTGCATGCCTTGCATGCGTGCTGCGTACTCCTGCCTGTGTACTCCGTGCGTGTGTTGCGTCTGTGTCTGTGTCAGTCACTGTGGTCCAGTTCTTCTATCCGTAGCGTGTCCAAGTGTCCTTCGATTTTCTTCCCCCCCCCGCCAAAAGAGCCAACCCGTTTAGGGTCTGAGGAAATTTCAAGCCAAAGCTCAAAACCCTAGATGCTCTCATGGGCTTCGGAACTAGGGTGGCGTTGTTTCCAAGACACCCCTGGCAAGTTTACCCTGAAGCCCATGTCTTGAGCGTTCGACACCGTTCCTGCCTAATACAGCAGCGCAAGACTTCCATAAACACCCTGTTATATTTAACAGGACCCCAACCCGAACCAACCTCAAACCCTAAACCCTAAACCCCAAATCCCAAATCCCAAACCCCAAATCAAACCCTGAACCCCAAATCCTAAACCCCAAACCCTAAACCCCAAACCCCAAACCCTAAACCCCAAGCCTTCATCCCCACCACCTCTTGCCCCTGACGTGTGGAGTTTAGGGTTTAGGGTTTAGGGTTTGGGGTTTGGGGTTTAGGATTTAGGGTTTAGGGTTTCGGGTTTAGGGTTTAGGGTTTAGGTGGGCAGGTCCGGGCATGGTGGCCGCGCTGCCCATCGAGCGCAAGCACGACATCAGAGCCTTGATTTCGCGCGGGTTGAGGGCTCATCCTCAGGCCCGGGTTTAGGGTTTGGGCCTTGGGGATGAGGGTACAAGGGTTTAGGGTTTAGGGTTTAGGGTTCAGGGTTTGGGGTTCAGGCCTTTGGGGGGTTGGGGCTTTTGGTTTGGGGTTTAGGGTTTTCAGGTTTGGTGTTTAGGGTTTAGGGTTTGGGGGTTTGGGGTTTAGGGTTTAGGGTTTGTAGCACTTGTAGGGTTAAGGGCTTGGGATTTAGGGTTCGGGGTTTTAGGGTTTGGGGTTTTAGGGTTTTAGGGTTTAGGGTTTCAGGGTATCACAAATAGATTCTGAACGTCGGGGCAGTGCAGGGTTCGAGGATTGCTCCCAGCCAGCATTGACATGAATCTGAAGTTCGAAAACAACAACCTTACATTAATTAATTATTCACTCATACCCTAAAGGCTCTGAGTTAGGGTTTGGCAGGGTTTTCTGAATATCCGTATGGGCTTTTGCTGGGTTGCCTGCTAAGTTTATCGTAAGAGTTAAAGTTTTTGCAGGGCGCCTAGTTGCAGCCACGCGCGCCAAGTTGCAGCCACGCGTAGGTAAAAGAGCCTCCAAGCACGAAGCCCCAAGCGCTAAATCCTCTTCAGCGACCGCTCACATAACCCTCTGCCACCATCAGCCACGCCCTCCAAAACCCTAAGGCCTAAGCCTCAACCCCTAAGCCCCAAACCACCCTAAAGCACCCGGACTAACCCTAAACCCAAAGCCCTATCAGTCTAGAACCCCAAACCCGAAAGCGCAAAAGACCCTTTAACAAACTATCTAAGAGAACTTTAAGAACCCC